AGAAACCCTGTCTTGAAAATCCACAACCCCCCTCTCCAAAAGAAAGAAAGAGAGGAAGAGAGGGAGAGAGGGAGGGAGGGAGGAAGGAAGGCAAAGATGTAAATACATGTCTCTTTGTCTAACATAGGATGAAGCCTTGTTAAGGTTTTATGTAACCTGAGTACCGATGCCGGGACTTGGGGGAGCAGAGATGGCCCCACAGCAGTTGAATGAATGGTTGCACACAAAGCATGGATGTCAGAGCGGTGCTGCTGCATTGGGCACCGAGTGAATTAACATCCCACAGGGCAACACAATCACAGCTCATCTTTCCTGTTAAGTGTAATCATTCTCCTCTCTCCACAAACACAAAATCTGTAAGCCGACCCACAGCTTCCTGGCTTGTTATTAAAAGAGCTAGGCCTGTTAAATAATACATCATTACTACAATGAACAAGTTTTCTGCCTTATTATTTTTATGTTAAGGATAATCATTCTTAGCAATAAAAAGTTTCTATTTTTTATTTTCTAATCAAAACCCTTCCCATGAACCTTGGGTCACTGGGTTGGAGATTGAGGAAGCGGATGAAGGCTGGTGCCTTCCTGCTCTCTCATTGTGTTCATCCTGAGCTGGCCGCCCACATTCCCTAAACATGAGGATTCACCTCTGTTAAGCCTCCCTAGAAATACCCTCCTCACAGATATATATCCAGAAGATTGTCTCCTAGGTAATTTTAAAACTTGTCAAGCTGACAGTCATTTAACAAACATTTCCAGAACCTGACATCTTTATGCCTCCTGAGTTTTCTCAGACACAGTATTCCTGAAACCTTGTATAGGTTTTTAGTCACTTTGCAAAGAGGATATATAGATTCTATCGATACAGAATGTATAGATATAAACATTGTGGAAGTAGGCACAGTTAAGTAGGTAGGTGTAACTTCCAAAACACTAATAATGATGTGATCCATAGCTCCCAGAGAAGCAAAAGGAAGATGGATTACAAAAGTAGATATAATCCCAGCACTCAGGAGACAAAGGCACATCTCTGAGTTTAAGTCCATCCTGGTCTACAAAGTGAGTTCCAGGCCAGCCAGGACTACACACACAGTGAGACCTTGTCTTTTAAAATAAATGTAATAATCCAACAGATGGCCAAGAAAATTAAAAAGAAACACAGAACGGGGATGGCAGAAATAATTTTGACTATATAATTCACAATAAATATAGAGAGATGTATTCTCCTACTGAAAGGCCTGTTCTAGTGGTCTGTCTTTAATCCCAGCACTCAGGATGCAGAGGCAGGTGGACCCCTGTTAGTTCAAGGCCAGCACGGACTACATATCAAGTTTCAGGCCTGCTCAAAAACAAAAAACTCAAAACAACAACACAAAAACAAACCAAGCAAAACAAATGAACAACCAATAGACTATCAAGTTGAATGGAAAGATAGAGACAAGCAAGATGAATGGGAAAGAGAGTCCTTCTTCCGTAAACATGGAAGGAAAAACCACTAAACCAAAAGAAGAAAATAAGATGACGTAAGAATAAGAGACTTCAAGGGCTATATTAATAATGACAAATGAGTGACTCAGATTGTCCTTCTGTGAACCTATAAAGATTTTAAAAGAGAATCTAAAAATAAAAATGGTAATTCTGGAAGATGTTGATACATTTAATAAAAACTGATATACGCCCTTGAAAAATGTTTAGTATGAATGCTGGTGATTTTAGTAGGATCACACGTATATGTACTAACTTAAAGAATGTTTTGAACCCAACAAATGGAAACTATATGTTATGTCCAACACATATGATGCAGTTTTGCTTTGTTTTTTACAATGACTACATGCTAGGTCAAAGGAAAAGTCAAGACAGTACCAGGACTTAATATTGTCTTTGTCCATGAAACATTCAAATAAATAATAAATAAAAATTGTTAAAATAGCACAACTTTTAACTGGAAAGATAAAAAGAATGCTCTAAAATATAACTTACTAGTTAAAAAACAAATTGCGAGGCTGGAGAGATGGCTCAGAGGTTAAGAGCACCGACTGCTCTTCCAGAGGTCCTGAGTTCAATTCCCAGCAACCACATGGTGGCTCACAACCATCTGTAATGAGATCTGGCGCCCTTTTCTGTATACATAATAAATAAATAAATCTTTTAAAAAAACAAATTGCAATGTCATGAAATATTTTAAAACAAAATATTGCTTAGGAAACCTTGCAAATAAGGGCAAAATGGTACTCACAGAATTTTATACCCTTTGATATAACTACTCTTTACAAAGGAGATTGTAACCAGGTATAGTATTGCAGTGTTGGAGAGTATTATTTTAAGATGTGTTAGTTTGTTTATGCTGTGGGACATTTGTTTAATAATGGAAAGATGTGTTGCATTCTTTTATGTTGTGTTTGTTTAACTCTGTGAAGCTGTGTTACTTTGCCTGCCTAAAACACCTGGTTGGGCTAACAAAGAGCTGAACAGCCAATAGTGAGGCAGGAAAAAGGATAGGCGGGGCTGGCAGGCAGAGAGGATAAATAGGAGAAATGTGGGGGGAGAGAAAGAGCAAAAGAACAAGGAAAGGAGGATGCTAGGGGCTAGCCACCCAGCCACCCAGCCACCCAGCCACCCAGCCACCCAGCCACCCAGCCACCCAGCCACCCAGCTAGTCATGGAGTAAGAATGAAAGATACACAGATGTAAAAAAAGGAAAATGCCCAGAGGCATAAAGTAGCCAGGATAATTTAAGTAAAGCTGGCTAGAATCAAGACAAGCCTAGGCTGGGCATTCATAAGTAAGAGGACATCTCCGTCTGTATTTATTTGGGAGCTGGGTGCCGGGCCCCCAAAAGAGCAAAATCAAGCAACAACACTGCAGGCCTGTTGTCTCAGCAATCGGCAAGACAGTGGCAGGAAGATCAGCAGTTTAAGGATAGCCCTGGCTGCATAACAAATTTGAAGCTAACCTGAGCTACAGGAGACTTTATCTCAAATAAAACAAAGGAGGGGAGGGAGAGGTCTGAAAGCAAACAACTAAATGCTGGCGCTATCCAGCTAGTAAAAGAGTTAGAGTAACAAAGCTAGACAAACAGAGGAAGGATTCAAAGTCCACCAACTACACTTTTATATTTGAATATTTCCTTTGTAGGGAAAATACAAAACAAATAATGAAAAGACAAGAATGTAACCCACACTAAATAAATAAGTCGTAATAAAAATAATGAAAGGTGGAGTGTAAATACAGCCAGATGATGATTTGAGAGCAAAATGAACAAGTTTATTCCCTAAATAAAAAATAAAAATTGAAACATTTTTAGAAAAAAAAATAGTAAAAGTACTTTAAGAAGAAACAAAACCATTCAACTCTCCCCTTCTCTTCTTCTTCTTCTCCTCCTCCTCCTCTTCCTCCTCCTCCTCTTCCTCCTCCTCCTCCTTCTTCTTGTTTGTTTGTTTGTTTTGAGACAAGGTTTCTCTGTGTAGTTTTGTGCCTGTCCTGATCTCACTCTGTAGACTAGGCTGGCCTCGAACTCACAGAGATCCGCCTGGCTCTGCCTCCCGAGTGCTGGGATTAAAGGCATGCGCCACCACTGCCCGGTCCCCCACTGCCCGGCCCCCTTCCTCTTCTTATAGAGAGCCCTGCCCCCCAAGAAAGCTAGAGCCGTATGGCTAAAGGAAAGGTTTGCCAAGCACTTCCCACTCATGTGGTGTACTGGTTTCGTGTGTCAACTTGACACAAGCTAGAGGCATCAGAAGAAGGAGCCTCAGTTGAGGAAATGCCTCCATGAGCTCCAGATCCAAGGGCTTTTCTCATTCAGTGATCAATGGGGGAGGGCCCAGCCATGGTGGGTGGTACCATCCCTGGGCTGGTGGTCCTGGGTTCTATAGAAGGAAGACTGAGCAAGCCAGGGGAAGCAAACAGCACCCTTCTATGACCTTTACATGAGCTCCTGCCTCTGGAGTCCTACCCTGTTCCTGTCCTGACTTCCTTCAGTGATGAACAGCAACACTGAAGTGTAAGTCAAATAAACCCTTTCCTCCCCAACTTGCTTTTTGGTCATGGTGTTTCATTACAGAAATAGAAACCCTAGTTAAGACATGTGGCTACTACACTCACCACCTCCAAACCGCCCATATTCAACTACCTTGAGTATCCTTTTTTAAAAAAATAATTAGGTAGGTGACCAATAAAAGGTGGTTACCAATAAACAACAGACATCATAATGAATGGGAAATTGTAGGAGCACGACAAGGATGCTGGCCAGACAAGGGGACCTCCTGGCCATCAGTTACACTCTGCATTATATTTGGGGGTGGGGTGGGGTGGTTTTAATTATCAAAACTTTGTCTCAACTGGGTAGGGAGTCTCAGCGAGGAACAGTCTAAAATAGGTTGGCTCCGACTTGCTTCTGAGGGACTTTTTAAACTGGGTTGAGTTAGGAAGGCCCGCCCTGAATATGGGTGTGGCCATTTCATGGGTTGGGCCCCGGATTGAATGAAAGAAAAGGAGAGGCTAGCTGATCTTTGGTGTGCGTGTCTTCTTTCATTCACTGCCCTCTTGACTGTAGATGTCATGTTATTAGCTGCTCAAGTTCCTGGTGCCTTTGACTTCCCAGCAATAATGGACTGGAACTGGAATTGTGAGCCAAATAAACTCTTTCTCCCCTAAGTTACTTCGGTCATGGTAATTTATCACACCAACAGAAAACAAAGGCAAGCTGAGTGATGGTTTAGATCAGTGGTTCTCAGCCTTCCTAATGCTGTGACCCTTGAGTACAGTTCCTCATGTTGTGGTGACCCGCCCCCCCAAGCATAAAATTATTTCGTTGCTACTTCACAACTGTAATTTTGCTACTGTTATGAACCGTAATACAAATATCTGATCTGTGACCCTTGTGAAAGGGCCGTTGAACCCTTGAAGGGTCACGATGCACAGGTCGAGAACCGCTTGCTTAGCTACTTTGAATGGTAAGCACACCATAAAAACAGGGTTAGGAGTAGGGGCATGAGGGGACTCACACCGGTAACCTGTCCCCACACCTCTCCAGCCAAACTCCATCGACAACAGACTTGGCAGCTGGGACCCCTGCCCGGTCACCTGTCCCTGGCATCCCTCCGCTTCGTGCGCAGGGGCGAGCCCCGCGGGGCGCGGCGTGGAGCTCCCGGCCCCTCCCGTGGATCCCCGTGGCCGCCCGCGCCGCACCCACTTCCTCTTTCCCTTCCGCGCGCGCCAGCCAACCGCTCGCCAAAAAAAAATTCCAGCCACTTCTGACACAGGAAGCCGGGAGGCCGCGCCCGAGCGACCAGAGGTGCATCTCAGCCGCGCCCCGGGGACGTAAGTGGGCCGCGGGGTCCCGCCTGGGCCTGGGCCTGGGCCTCAGCCCCGCCCGGCCGGGTCCTCCAGCCGGCTCGGCCCGCTCCTCCCTCCCCGCCCGGCCGGGTCCTCCTCGGGCGCGGTGGCGGCCCGGTCCACCGCCGCGAGCCCGCCATGGAGGTGGAGGAGGCGTTCCAGGCGGTGGGCGAGATGGGCCTCTACCAGATGTACTTGTGCTTCCTGCTGGCCGTGCTGCTGCAGGTGAGTCCCCGGCTCCCCACGGCCCCGCGGGACGCGCTCAGCTCGGGGGGCGCCCCCAGGGATGGCGTGAGAGCCGGGCGGGCGGGCGCCGCGCGGTGGCGGGCCAGCCACTTGAGCTCTCCCAGGCTGTCACCCCCGAGCTTGGCACTGACACTTAGGCGCCAGAGCTAGTTAAGCGGTGAAAACCATTGCCTGGGATCTGCTGCAGAAAATGAAAGGGAGTCGGTACCCTAACCCGTGGCTCTATCACCCTGCAGTCTAAGACCGAGATGGCGCGGACCCACAAAAGGTGGGAGCTCCGAGGCCCTCTCTGAGCTCGAGGGGACTTCCTATTAAGGGGGCTTTCCATGCACGGGATTTATTTCTCTGTGGTTTAAAGTTCTACTGGGTTATTCAGCACTGAGGCCGGCTTCGGTCTGATGGTATAGGGAAATAATACCATCTGTATAGTGTAGTTTATCGTATAGAATTCCCAGAACCCATTTGCACACCTCAACCGAAAACTCTTGATTCTAGGGTGCCTTAGAGCTTCACTCTTGTAATCACAGCACTGTGGAAACTGAGGCAGGAGAAGGATACCTCTCCTTTCAGGCATATTCAAGGCCAGCCTGAGCTTCTTCGTTCCCGGGATGCAGATCAGTGGTAAAGCCTTAGCATGTGCAAGCCTCTGGGTTTGGTCACTAGCGCCAGGGCTGGAAGGTGAAGCTAGCTCCCTGCCCAGGAGGCTTGCATTCCTGGGATGAAGTGAGGTGTGATGAGGCAGACAGACTGACCGCTAAGCGCGTAGTTAAGGTGTGATGGTGTTATTCCAAGGGAAGTACTGGCTGGACACGGATGTAGCCAGAGCCCACAAGGTGCTTCAACGATGCAAAGAGGTAGGTGCAGGACCGGAGGCAGTGAGGTCAAAGTTGACTTATTGATTTCTCTTTTCCGGTTAAACCATCAAAAATTCAGTTGATTTCACCACCAACCAGAAAAATGGTTCCAGTGGTGATATATGGAAAACATTCTCTTAACAGAATAAAAACTAGTTAATACAGAGAAATAGAATTGTAACTGTGATACCTGATCTTTGTATAATAGTTTCTTTCACAGTAGTAGTCTATCTAGCCAGGAATTCCAAGTATATAATTCCTCTCCGGCAGTCCTTTCCAGCCCCCTCTCTATCCACACTCCAGTTCTGTGCTAGCATCTTCTTACTTAGCCAGGTGTCCACCAACTTGGAATAAATCTTTCTTGAGTGCAGTACTGAAAAGGCTGTATTCTGGGTCGGGACCTGTGAACTTTCCTGTACTTTTTACCCCCCAACTGCCAGCTGGACATCCAACCCCAGAGCCGTGTGCTTTTTACACAAGAGCTTTACAGCTGATCTACAGCTGTATCTACAGTCCACCCCAGGCCTCCCATACTTTTTTTGTTAATGACTGACCTAGGTCACTGGAGTTTGTTAAGGAAGAGTTCCAAGCCCGCGATCTTGATGGCTCACTAACCCTTGATTGAAGTACAGTCGGTATTTGCCAGGTTTTAGAGGGTTATTGGCAGTGGGTGATTGTTTGCCTTGTAGGTGTGGGCTGTCTCTGTCACCCTGTTCCTTCCTCCAGCTGGGATGAAGTCGCTGCTATAAACATGTGATGAGGGTCACACCATGAGCATTACTGAATTAATTACTTAGTGGATCATAGTCTAAGGCCAGCCTGAAGACCCCACTGTATCATAGTCTAAGGCCAGCCTGAAGACCCCACTGTATCATAGTCTAAGGCCAGCTTGAAGACCATACTGTATCATAGTCTAAGGCCAGCCTGAAGACCTCACTGTATCATAGTCTAAGGCCAGCCTGAAGACCCCACTGTATCATAGTCTAAGGCCAGCCTGAAGACCTTACTGTATTATAGTCTAAGGCCAGCCAGCAGCAACACAGGGGTTCAGCCATGAGGAGAATCTGTTCATATCTAGGGGGGTCAGCCATAAAGAGAACCTGTTTGTATCTAGTAAGTTTCTAATGGTGAAAACATGACTAGTCACCAGGGTTCTCTGTGAGTTGGAGTAAGTTTTATGCTGCTCCTGGGCTTGAGCTTGGTTGAGCCTTCTACTAGTCTGGGTTCTCTAGAGGAACATAATATATATGTACACACACACACACACACACACACACACACACACACAATTTATTAGAATGGCTTACAGGCTGTGGTCCAGCTAGTCAAACAATGGCTGTCTACAAACGGAAGGTCCAAGAATCCACCTGCCTTCCAAGAATCCAGTTGTTCAGTTCCTGAGGCTGGATGTCTCATCTGGTCATCAGAATCTCAAATAGGCTCTAATGCCAGTAAAGGAATGGACTTGCCAGCAAAAACAAGAGCAAGCAGACAACGAGCAAAAGCTTCCTTCCTTCCTGTCCTTTACATAGGCTGTCAACAGAAAGTGTGGCCCAGATTAAAGGTGGATCTTCCCACTTCAAAAGATCTGGATTAAAAGAGGACCTTCCCACTTTAAATGATTTAATTAAGAAAGAAAAAAAATCTCTCACTGGTGTACCCAGACACTTGGGTTTTAGTTAATTCTGGCTGTAGTCAAGTTGACAACCAAGAACAGCCATCACAGGCCTCATGAGGGTTATGATAAACTGGAGACTTTTGGCTGATTGTTTATACCAGCTTTCATGGGTGGGCCCCCGAGCCATACTGGCCTCAGTTACATTCTCAGGAACAATGGTTACCTTGGACTGCCCACGTGTGTGTAACACAGATAAAGTTGCAAGTCCTTTAGGTACTTTCCTCATGGGGAGGCTGCGGCCATACAAGAGGCTCCAGGCAGCACAGAGGGCTTCTTAGGGTCTGGAATATTTCAGAAAGTGGAGTGTGGTTTGGAAAGTGTCTAGTCTGATGCCTCCACAGATCCCAATGGCATGCCTGGCAAGGCCACCCACAACTCTTGACAGTGCCCTGATGGAGCAGGTGTCACCTTCCAAGGAAGCACAAAAGAAGTCATTACAAATGTGAAAGCAGACAATGTGTATAGAGTAGACAGAACTCTGGTCCCGGCACCACGTCACTGCTGCAGAATGGTTGAATGATCTTATGAAAATGACCTCTCAATCCTCACCGTGCCTTTGGAGGTGGCTGGTCAGGAAATCTTGTTTTGCAAATTTAGAGTTTTTTGGGTTTCTTTTTTCCTAGTCTTTAACATTCAATACTTTATCTAATCAGCATGACTATGAGGCCAGCATAGACCGAACGATTAAATAAGCATTTATAGCTATCCCTGTGGATTCCAGTCTGAAGGTTTTCTTAAAGTTGCCCCTTACCTAGTAGTAATAATTGGCATAATAAATAGACCTGGTGGTTTTTAGGACATTAGATTGAGTCCTTACCACAGTTGGGAGCTATTTTATGACCAATAGGTAATCAAACTGAAAGGCACACAGATTGGCGATCTTCTCTCTGGTTTCCTTGACCAAAGTTCAAACAAACCTATGTCTGTATTCTCGATAATTGTGAGCATGCCACAGATAGTATTTGATGATTGTAGGGGGAAACGAGAGAGTGTAGAGAAAAGAAAGAAAAACAAAACAGTTATTCAGAGTGTACCAGGGGCACATTTTGGGGTATATCCTTCCAGAACTTTCATTAAGTAAATATGCACATAGCCCTTCTTTTGCAGAAATGTATATTATCACTAAGTTTTGTCTCTTGGCAGTGTTTAGATGCCTTGCTAGTGTTGAGAGGTAACTCCACCAGAGAACACACACGGACACTCTTAAAACCCAATAGAAAGTCTGTTATGCCAGCCAGCCGCTGCCCAGGGAACTTGCCCAAATCATGAAGCCTCAAGCCTCACTGTCCCTTGTCTTTTATTCACAAACGTCATATCCTAGTTGACATACTTTGGTTACCAAGAACAGTTAGCAAGATGCCAAACTACAGAAGCCAAAAGGCAAGGTTAGGATATTTAGGGACTTGACTGGATCCTGGAACTCCGGAGTAGGTCTTTGATGGATTTGGTCTTTCCTGTTTTGGCAGGTGTTGGGGCCTATGTGCTGGGTTCTAAGGTAAGAATGATGCTTTCAACATGGCAACAGCTGTGCTAAGGTTGGGGACCTGTTACAATAGTCACAAATCAATAGCTTCATGTAGCGCGAATCCTAATTGTTCTTAGTAACAAAAACCTGGAGCCAGATATTGAGGTAAATGCTGAAAGATCAGAGAGACAAAGGAGCAAGCCATAGCCACTTCTCACCTAGCCAACTCCTCAACCTGAAAGGGACCGAGCTCCTGTCTCCACCCCTCATTATCACTTCTTATTCTCTGCCCAGCCATATCACTTCCTATTTCCTCCTCCCAAGTGCTGGAATTAAAGGTGTGTGCCACCACTGCCTGGCCTCTATGGCTAACTAGTTGTTATCTCTGCATTCTGATCTCCAGGCAAGCTTTATTTGTTAGAGCATAAACAAAATATCACCAGAGCTTCGTATTTTATTTTTAACAGCTGCAGCATAAGGTCCTTGTTATATGTCCATACCGTAGCTTGTTTATCAGTTTCTGGTTTTCAGTTTAGAACCACACACTGTGGTGCTGGGCTCTTCTTTGTTCTGGCCTTCACCTCTTGCCTGTTGATTGACACTCCCCTTCTCAAACACGGAGAAGACATTACCTAATAACACTCTTTTATTTCACTGTATTTGTTATTCATTCTATTTTAAAATTTTAAAAATAATTTTAAAGCACTTCAAATAATGTAGAGAATAATTCACAAGCCCACATGCACTTATTTTCAGGTTGAATATTACTAATATTTTTTCAAGATTGTGTTATAGTTTAGCTTGTAAGGCAGGACAAATAACACCTAAGATGTGAGATTATGCATATAACTAATGAATAGCTGCATTGTTGAGATCTGACCATGCATTGTTCCAGGAGCTGGTATGTGTGATATTGGGGCTCAAACTTGGCAGGGCAGGCTGTTGGGAAGGCAGGGTATGTTCGGAAGCCTATCAGAACTGA